AAAACCCTTAGAAACCTCAACTTTTAGTGACTATAAAAGAGTAAAGGATTATGAAGTTTCTTTTCTAATTAGCATTCTGTGGCTTGACAAATTTAGATATACTTTTTATAACTTCCAGAAACATCTTTTCTCATGGAACATTTTCTCAATGTGGCATCAAACATATTTACCAATAAGCCCAAATGTCTAAAGGAAGCCCCAGATGATAAACCTATGCTCAATATTTAGTGTTTCAGTGTTTTATCTTATTTGGAAATGATCTGGATATTCAATGATTTCAGCTTATCTCATTATTTAACTGAACTTAGCAAAACTAAGGTTTCCAGGTTACCAAAAGATATGGGGGAACTATATTTTGTAAAATTCCCCTTAAAACTTTTTATTCTACTTGCATCTATTTAATTTTGGAGGAGGGAATGGCAACCCACTCCAGTATTCTTGCCTGGGAAATCCCATGGACAGAGAAGCCTGGCAGGCTACAGTCCATGGGGTGGCAAGAGAGTTGGACACGACTCAGCGACTAAAAAGCAACGACAACTATTTAGATTATTTGTAAAAATTTCTTCAAACCAACTAACTTTTCTTACAAATTTTGTAGCCTGAATTTATTTGACTAATAAACCCAAGTAGAATAAAAGTTGTATGTTTGCATTACACTCCATGTTTGTAATTCTAAGAGATGTCTGTTTTAATCGAACCAACAAACAAAGTAGTTCTAATACTGAATATTTTCCCATATCACATGAATCTGAAAAGCATTTTGGTGATGTTCTACTGTATTTCTTAAAGTTTTATGACTAGTTAATTTATGCAAGCACTTTATTTTCTTTAAGCCAATTCGATAGAATTCTTTTACACATTAATTTTTGTAATGCCATCCAAAGGTAAAAAATACCACACATCTATAACACATTTAGCGACACACATAAGCAGAGACAGATACAGAGACCTTAATAGTTTCATTTTAAAATTTCTGCCATGAATCAGGTACACTAATACAAAACACGCTAGTTATAAAAGGACAGTTGGAACTAGTTCAGCTTATCTTCTCACATGGCTGTAGCTCTCCTCTACCACCCAGGTATATTTTAGCTTAATAGAAAGGGCCTTAAAGAAAATTTATATCAGGGACTTCCCAGGTGGCACGGTGGATAAGAATACACCTGCCAGTGCAGGGGACCCGGGTTCGATCTCTGGTACGGGAAGATTCCACAGGCCACAGAGCAGATAAGCCTGTGCACCACCACTACTGAAGCCCCGGGGCCCTGGAGCCTGTGCTCAGCAACACGAGAAGCCACCGCAATGAGAAGCCCGAGCACCGCACCTAGAGAAAGCCCATGAGCAGCAGTAAAGACTGCGCACAGCCAAAAATAAACCAATTAATAATAATAATAATAATAATAATAATAATAATAAAAGAATCTGTGCTTTCACCGCAGAGGGTGTGGGTTCAATCCCTGGTTCAGTTCAGTTCAGTTCAGTCGCTCAGTCGTGTCCGACTCTCTGTGACCCCACGGACTGCAGCCCACCAGGCTCCTCTGTCCTTGAAATTCTCCAGGCAAGAATGCTAGAGTGGGTTGCCATTTCCTTCTCCAGGGGATTCTCCAGAAATCCAACCAGGGTCTCCTGCATTGCAGGCAGATTCCCACGTGTTCTATGGCAAAAAAAAAAAAAAAAAAAAAGGAAGGAAAGAAAGAAAGACAGTGGTTATCTCTGGGAGAGGAAGAGGTCTGGATCTGGAAAAGAAGAGACAATGTGAAATTTTATATTCTTCTCTCAACTGGCCACTACAGATGGAGATGTGGGAGAGCTGATTTGGGTAAGAATATTCACCTTTTGTTGGCTCCTGCCAGATTTTTTAAGGATCCTGCCTACAGGTTCTATGTGGAATTTAAAGTGGATAGTGTAGCTCCAATATTTACCCGAATTTGGCAAGGTTTTCTTATTAATTTTTAATTTTTGTTTCCCCTTAGCTGTTTAAGGGTATAATGTAGCTTTTACCAGGAAATCCCAGAGCCTGTCAACTCTAGGAGAAACTATGTGTCAAGACAGGAAGTGGCCGCTAGAAAGCCAGAGAAAAGGGGAAATTCAGTGAGAGGGTTAGAATAAGGAAGAGGAGGGTATGAAGGAGACGGGGTAGGAGGCAGAGGGAAAGAGGAAATGAGTGCAGTTGGGTGAAGGGGGTGAAGAGCCTTCTGATGGCTTTTTGTATTCTTTCAATCATTTATTTGCCTCTGTCAATTTAGAGATTGTTGTCATTCAAGCACTAAGTCATGTCCAACTCTTTGCGACCCCATGGACTATAGCCCGCTAGATTCCTCTGTCCATGGGATTTTCCAGGCAAGAATACTCGAGTGGGTTGCCATTTTCTTCTCCAGGGGATCTTCCCAACCCAGGGATTGAACCCAGGTCTCCTGTGTTGGCAGGAGGATTCTTTATCACTGAACCACTTGGGAAGCCCTTGAATCTTGACTAGGCAAAGTCAGTCGAGATAATCCTTCACCTTGCACAGTCGGCCCATGGGACATGACAGAGACTGCTTGATGATGGGATTTCTAACAAGACAGAGATGGGAAGCCCCCTCTTCCAGCTTTGGATGTGGTTGTAAAAGGGCATGATGATGGAGCTCTGGCCACCACTGTGCAAACACCAACATGCTGAGGACAGCAGGGCAGCAAGGTAGGTTCTCAGTGACTTCTAGGAACTGCTGAATTAATGACCCTTGGGTATCTCCATCTCCATTCTTTCTGTTATGCTGTATTATATTAGGTATTCCTTACTGCTCTTGAGAATCCCCTGGACATCAAACCAGTCAGTCCTAAAGGAAATCAACCCTGAACTCTTTGGAAGGACTGATGCTAAAGCTGAAGCTCCATTACTTTGGCTACCTGATGTAAAGAGCCGACTCATTGGAAAAACACCCTGATGCTGGGAAAGACTGGGGGCAGGAGAAGAGGGTGACAGAGGATGAGATGGTTGGATGGCATCACAGATTTAATGGACATGAACTTGGGCAAACTCTGTGAGATGGTGAGGGACGGGGGTGCTGGCATGGTGCAGTCCATGGGGTCGCAGAGTCGGACATGACTTGGCAACTGAACCACAACTGTTCCTACTCCAGTGCCTTTGTGTTTGCCGTTCCTTCTATCTGGAATGCCTCCCACTTGCTCTCCAGACATCTGCATGGCCCTCTCTGTCAGCCCCTTTCAGGTCTATTCAGATGACACTCTAAATCCTCCCTGCATAAAAGTGCACCCCAGAACTTCCCTGGTGGTTCAGTGGCTAAGACCCCAAGCTCCCAATGCAGGGGGCCTGGGTTCCCTAGTCAGGGAACTAGATTCCACATACTGCAGCTATGAGTTCATATGCCGCAACAAAAAGAAGCTGTGTGCCCCAAAGAAGACTGAAGATCCTGTGTGCCACCACTAAGACCCTGCACGGCCAAATAAATAATAAATATAAATGCAATTTTTTAGAAAGTGCATCCCTTTGGCAGCATCCCCACTTCTCTTCCCAACTGTGTTCTCCAGAGTACTTATTACGATCTGGAATATCATGAAGCGAAGTGTTAGTCACTCAGTCATATCTGACTCTTTGCAACCCCATGGACTGTAGACCACCAGGATCCTGTGTCCATGGGATTTTTCAGGCAAGAATACTGGAGTGGGTTGAGATTTTCTTCTCCAGGGGATCTTCCCGACCCAGGAATTGGAGCTGGGTCTCCTGTATTGCAGACGGATTCTCTACCATCTGAGCCACCAGGGAAACCCAAATGAGAGGTTTATTATCTTCCTCTCCCATAAAAACACAAACTTCCTGAAAGCAGGAGATTTTGTTTACTCAGTGTCCCCCGTGTCTACAACTGTGCTTGATGTATAGTATTGTGATCAATACATTTTTGTTAAATGAATCATTTCAGTTCTTCTCGTTGGACTTTCTATTACTTTCAGCTGCAAGCAAATGTTCCTGGCATTCTGCCTCCGGTGAGCTCCTTGATTTTATTATACCTCTCTGCTACATCCTTTGGATCCAAAGCTTGCTCTGAAATGATGCTCACTCCACATTGAGCCTTTGATCTCATGCTCACCCTGGCTCCCAGACCTTGCCATCTGAATCCCCAGCAGAGAGAGACCACATCAGGGGCCCCACTTGAGGCTGCAATGTCAGCAAAAGGAGATCCAAACCACGAGGCATTGTGCAATGCGATTCATTCAGATTTGGTGACAGCTAGGATCAAACCAGTCAATCCTAAAGGAAATCAACTCTGTTTATTGGAAGGAATGTGAGCAAACTCTGGGATATGGTGGAGGACAGGGGAGCCTGGTGTGCTGAAGTCTATGGGGTCGCAAAGAACTGGACACAACTTAGCAACTAAACAACAAACAGCACAGCGGAGAGACTGTGCCCAGACTGAAGAGGGCCCATGGTGGGGGTGGAATGGCTGCTCTGAAAGCGTGAGGAGGGCGTGTATTTTGTCCTCAAGCCCCAGGTCCGCTGCCAGGACTTTGCTAGACCCTGAAGAGGGAGAGAGAAGGAGGAGCTGTTTCCTAATGTTCTTGAGAAGAGATACAGTCTGAGGGAGTAGCCTGGTAGTGGGAACCTCCTAGTTTGAGGAAGGATGTTTATTTACTCTTTGGACCCCCCCAATCCGAAGGAGAATGTGTAACCATGGAAGCATCTCTCATCTGAGGAGGAAAACAGCCTAGTCTGCGGAAGGAGGCATAGCCTTTGAGGCCCTTGGTGAGGAAAGAGGACCAGATTTGAGGAAGCCCTAGTCCGAGGGAAGAAGCACAGCTTTTGGGGTCCCAGCGGGAAGAAAGAGGACTAGCTTTGGGGGATCTCTTAGTCTGAGGGAGGAGGCTCACCCCTGCTTTTTTTAACTTTCTCACCGGAAGCTTCGAACCCTCTAGAAATGCCCTAGTAGAGGGGCACCAGGGCACCATCTGGCGGAACAAGCAAGGGGGCTCCGGGGAAGGGGCCCGGGGTGCAGGTGGGGTGGCTCAGGCGAGGGTCGCGGTGCCCAGCGCGACGGTCAGCACCGGCAGGGCGAGGCGGAGGCCAAGTGCCGCGCCCGAGTGGCACTTGGGGTCCAGGATGGCGCGTTGGAGGGCGTTGCAGACGGGCGGGCCGGCCAGCCGGTGGCCGGGGAGCGCCGGGAAACCCTCTGTCTGGCACAGGTCGCGGGTGCCGCAGCCGCGCACGCTCAGGTTCCGGCCGCCTGCGGAGATGAGGGTGGGGACGGGGACGCGAGGATGCGCCCCGCGAGCGCGCGCCTGGCGCACGTACCTCACTACTGGTACCAGCGGCGCATCGCTGTCTCCAGACCCCGGGAGTTCCTCCAATCCAACAGATTGCCCGGAAACTCCCTCCAGCCCCGCGGGGTCACCTTCCTAAAAGACTTTGTCACGTGGAAAGGGGAACCAAGAGCGCGCCAACCTCGGAGGGAATGGCCCGCCCTCAAGTCCATCCGTGTCCTCCTGGAAAACTTAGCAGCAGTGTTCTGATTCTTGATTTGGAACTGGTCACGGGTTTTCCTTTCCTTATTCTTTGTAACTTACTCATATGTTACAGGTATTCTTTCACTTGTATTCAATATTAATAAATATTATGACACCTGGAGGCCACTTGGCTTCACACATCCCTCCAACCAGTTTCCCAATTATTTCCTGTGCTCCTCACAGCCCTATATAATATAATATGACAGAATGTGATATATTTATATAAAAATGCAAATATACCAGAGTAACCAGTTTATTAAGGACTTGGTGAGAAATTCGAAAGTGAAATAGTCTGGCTTCCCAGGTAGCGCTAGTGGTAAAGAAACCACCTGTCAAGGCAGGTAGAGGTAAGAGACGTGGATTGGATCCCTGGGTGGGGAGGATCCCCTGGAGGAGGAAATGGCAACCCACTCCAGTATGCTTGCCTGGAGAATCCCATGGACAGAGGAGCCTGGCAGACTGTAGTCCATAGGGTTGCACAGAGTTGGACTTGACTGAGCAGCAGGTACACACCAACAGAAAAATACTTAACAACTGTTGGTGTTATCTTTAGGTCCTTATCTTTTAGCCATATGTGGAAATGCTTATGGTTGAGTAATAGGATATCTGCGTGTATTCAAAATAATATGGGGCCTGGGTAGAGATGAAACAGGATCGGCCATGAGTGCATAATGATCACAGTTGGGTGAAAGGTCCACGGGGCTTATTAAACTGTTTACTCTTATATTTGCCTTCGAATTTCTCCATAATACAAAAGTTAAAAAGAAATGTAAGCCTCACAGCACAGTCTGAGTTTATGTCATCTTGCCCTGAACTGGAGTACACTTCCTCAAAGAGCCATGTTTGTGAGTCATAGTCCCACACCCACCATCATGCACACCCACCCACACATGTACACACACACACACACACACATCTCAATCACAGCCCATATGAAGCCCAAGAGACCAGAGCACAATCCACCCAAACATACCCAGGCTTCCTGCCCACTGCCGTATCACCCCTCCTCCGGAAACACCCACACACTTACCCCACTGTGCACAAAAAACCAACTTCCCCAGTTCATCCCTTCCCTGGACAGTGATTGATTAACAGCTATTTAGTCCACCTGAGCCTTATTCACGTATAACAATGATAACCACTAACACTGAATGTCTTCAATTCCAAGATGCAAATCCCTATTCCCCAACACACACACACACACACACACACACACACACACACATTGTTTAGTCACTCAGTTGTGTTCTACTCTTTGCAACCCCATGGACTGGAGCCCACCAGGCTCCTCTGTCCATAGGATTTCCCGGGCAAGAACACTGGAGCGGGTTGCCATTTCCATCTCCAGGGAATCTTCCCAACCCAGGGATGGAACCCGAGTCTCCTGCCTTGGCAGGCAGATTCTTTACCTCTGAGTACATACACATACATACATATATTTTTTAACGCTTTGGAAGACAACTGTCTTCCTGTCTTACCATCACCTTAGATTTGCTTACATGCCATACATAGCCCTTATTATGTTCTAGAATTATGCTGTTCAGTACAGTAGCCACTAGCTGTACATGGCTCTTGAGCTCATGCCATGTGGTTGGTTTGAACTGGGATGGGCTATGAATGTAAAACCCACATGAGATTTCAAAGACTTAGTAGGAAAAAAATGAATAAAAGATATCTCATTCATCATTTCTTATGTCATTTGCATGTTGAAATGATAACTGTTGGGTAAATTGGGTTGAAAATATATTGTTCGTTTGGTGGAAACCAACACAATTCTGTAAAGCAGTTACCCTTCAATTAAAAAATAAATCAATTTAAAGTTAAAAAAAGAAGCCAGAGGAAAAGATATTATTCAATGAACTTCACCTTTTACCTTTTTCAGAAGACTAGTAAACAATTTTAATTTGCATATGTGGATATTGTATTTCTTTTGGACAGCACACATCTAGAAGCTTCATGGATTATCTTATTTAATATTCATAACAGATAAGAGACCTTGATTAGCCTCTTTCTCAGATGGGGAAATTGAGGCACAGACAAAGAAAGTCCCCTGCCCAGGGTCACTCAGTTCATAAGGGCTAGGATTTGAACCCAAGCAGCCTGGCCCCAGAGTCCTGCTTTCCGCCTTCTACTCCATCACCTCTCATGAACTCATTTCATCTTCATCAAACCCTGTGAGATATGCTTCTAGCATCCCCATTTATCAGAAGATAAAAATGAGGCTAAAAGAGGTGAAGGTGCTTGGGCCACACGGGGTCAATGATGGAACTGGGTCCCCCAAACCCAGGCATGCCTGTATCCAAAACCAGTGTGTTCAGACTCACTCGTGCACACGTGCACATGCACACACACATCTTACCTACTTCGGACACCAGGTTCACGTGGATACACTCGGTCTCCCTGCTGGGACACTGCATGTAGAAGGCGGGGCTGCAGGGCCCCGAGTGGCCCCCAGGACATGTGGGACACAGGAACTTACCCCGGGTGCCTGAGGCTGGCAGGACAGCTGTAGAGGGGAGAGCGATGGTCAGCCGCGAGGACGCTCATGACCTCCCAGGGTCCTTCGTGTGCTCATAGGCTCTACTACAGGGGGATGACCTTAATGGGCTTTCCCAGGGAGCTGCAGTCAAGGTGGCTTAGGGCAAGCTGACTGGAAATGAGGATTGAGTGCCCACCCTCCTCAGTCTCCAAAGTCGCCCCACCACCTCCTCGGCCTCCCATCTGACCACGTTCTGGTGGCAGCGCACCGAGAGGACTGGGCTCTTGGCAGTTGCCTTGGCAACAGGTGGTGTTGACCCAGAAGCCAAAACCGATGCTGTAGGTCAAGGCAGAGATGGAGTTGTCAGGCATGCAATCCTTGGAGGCCACGCAGGAGCCGTTTCTCCAAGCGACAGAGTTAGTTGCCCCTAGGACTGGAAGGATATGGAGGGTAGGTTCATGAGAAGCAAATACGAGCCGTCTTCATTCCCCCACCAGGGACTGAACCTACACCTTCACTGGCACCCTCTGCTGTGAACGTGCTGAATCCAGATCACTGGACCTCCAGGGAATTCCCCAAATCACTGTTAAGTCACGAAGTTTGTTTTTTTTTCATCATAGTGGTAAAAAATATATACATAATACAAAATTAACCTTCTTGTCCAGTTTTAAGCATGCAGTTCAATAGTGTTCACTATATTACATTGTCGGGTAATACATCTCTAGAATTTTTCATTTTGCAGAATTGAATCTATCACCATTCTGCTTTCTTTTTCCATGATTTTGGCCACTCTGGATACCTCATGTAAATGGAATTATACAGTATTTGTCTTCTTGTGCCTGGTGAAGCTTCTATATTTTTAGCTGCTTTGCTATTCAAGAATAACTATGACATTTGCAGCGTCAGGTTTTAAACTCCCATCCTCTGTTGCAACCAACCTCCGTCCTTCATAGCCAGGAAAGGGTTACCATGGCTGGAGTTGAAGCAGCAAACACAAGAGGGCGAGGAGAGGTCTTGGATGTCTTATGTCCCACTTCTGCCTGTCCTCCGGCATCCCGTCCCAGGGGCGCTTACCTGTGATGCCCACAGTCTGAAGGCAGTGGTTCCTGTGTTCAGTGCAAGGGAGAGGGTTGCAATGGTGGAGGTCTGAGCAGGTGAAACACATGGTGACCTTAGCCTTGGTGTGGGCCGTGTAGGGACCTGGGGAGAGAGGAAGATGAGCTGGCTGGAGGATGTGTGTGTGTGTGTGTGTGTGTGTGTGTGTTAGTTTCTGGGCACATAGCTATATGCTTGTGACGGTGCTGTGTGGATGCACTTCTGTGATGATGCAGTTTGTGTGTATGAGCATCCAGGCCTGTTTCTCTGTGCCCATGTGGTTCATGTGGCTATACATGCATATGTTGCACTTGATGTGTTCTCGAATTGTCTGAAGAAGGGTAGGAATGTTTGTGTGTCTGCTTTCGTGAGCCCCTCTGTGTGTGGGTGTCTATGTGCATATCTGTGTTTACGTGTCTATGTTGCTGTTTTTGTTTAGTTGCTAAGTCGTGCCTGACTGTAGCCCACCAGGCTCCTCTGTCCATGGGATTTCCCAGTCAAGAATACAGGAGTGGGTTGCCATTTCCTTCTCCAGGGGATCTTCCCCACCGAGGAATCAGACCCGCATCTCCTGCATTGTTAGGCGGATTCTTTACCACTGAGCCTCCTGGGAAGCCCATGTGTCTGGGTAGGAGGCTGGTCTAGGGAGTCTGTGTTTCCAGCAAGGTTTAGGGTGCTTGGATATACACGTTGGTGCACAGATGTGTATGTTGGCTTAGTGTTTCAGTGTGTGTGTACATTTTTTACTCTTGTGTATTAATATTTGTGTTTGTACCTGTCTCTTTCCAAGTCCATGTGTTTGGATCTGACAACCAACGTGTCCCTGCACAGATGTGTCATATATCCACAAGGACTGTATCCACAAAAATTCCATGTCCCATCTTCCAGTGGTCAGTAATCCTAATTTGCCCCCTTCCCCTTTCCACGTTGTAAATTTTAGCTCTCAAGTCTACCATTTTCTTCTTCATTGTCATCATTCATTTAATCTTCTGCTTAGTTTGAAAAGTAAACTGCCTAACAGCTGGTAATCAGAGATAGTAGAGGTAAGACTGTTCCTGCTTTGCCTGTAAATGCAGCAAACCTATCTTCTTTATCACAGGACTGTCTGCTGTGCAGATTCTAACAAGAGCATTTTCTATGCCACCAGGGCTGAGGGGACACTGAATCCAGATTTGAAAATTACCTTTGCTCCTCTGAAATGTCTATAATTCTGTTCAGTTGTCACTTAAAAACCTGTTGCTGGGACTTTGCTGGTGGTCCAGTGGCTTAGACTCCATTCTCCCAATCCGGGGGGACCCGGGATTTCATCCCTGGTCAGGAAGCTAGACCCTACATGCTGCCACTAAAGATCCTGCATGCTGCAACTAGGACCTGGCACAGCCAAACAAATTAAACAGATATTTTACAAAAAAACACACCACAAACTGTTGACCTGGTAAATACTATTTAAATTAGCATCTCTCTTTTCTAGAAGACAGAAAGTATTGTCAATGCTCTTTGGTAAGCCAAAAGAAGACTGTTGGCAAATCTGTCTTCTTTCACAAGCCAGGAAGTGAAGAAAATGAAAAGACCACCAGATTTCTTCTAAACCGAGTTTAGATCTTGAATTCCATTTACACAACAGGATGTTCTCGTTTTGAAGTCCGTGCTCCTCTGCAGGCGTGTTTTGGGTGCTGGGATGTAAGTGTAGATGGTCTGTGGATGTGTGCCAATGGGATTTTCTGCATCTAGGTGTCAGGCAGTGTGAGTGCGTCTGTGTGCATCTGTGTGGTGGTGTGTGTGAGCGCGCGCCTGTGCACATATGAGTAATTGCATTCTCTGGGAACTTGATGGTAGGGACAGGGGATACTTGGGAACACGTAAGATCAGGAAGGGCATTAGGGACCCAGAGAGGGCAAAGAGGATAGAGTCTCAGGAAGTCAGGGTTCAAAGCACCTGGCTGGGTGGTGGGAGTCACACTGTTGCATCCGGGCTTGGTGATGAGATGAAATCCAGACGCTTCTGGGCCCAGGGTGGTGTTCGCTTGCAGGTGGCAGATCTCCGGTATAGCACAGCCTTTCAGGATCTGGGGGGTCCCTGTAGAAACAAGGTAAAGCTGGCGGGGCAGACTCAGAGCTTGAGCCTTCCCAACTTGATGTCTGTCTTTCTCTGTGTGAAAGTTTCCAGCTCTCTTGATTGTTCTGTATGACTCATTTTCAAATCTATCTGGTCATTTCTTACAACCTCTTGATGCCCACTCATTTGAAGGATTCTAACTTTATTCCTTCATATAGTCACATATAACTACACTATGTTCTATGGCTGCTAATTGTAATAGCTGAGTTCCTTGTGGACCTATATCCATTGTTTGTTGTCGCATCTATCACTCATGGTGGCTTGTTTCTTTGTGTGTTTCATGGGCTCTGGATTGGGAGCTCACATGGGGTTGATGTCAGTCTGTGGGAGTCCTGAGAGCTTTTCTCTGGAGAGGATTTGTCTTTGCTTATACTGAGATCATGTGGCCTATACTTTGTCAGATAAGTCAGATCAGCTGACTCACTGGAAAAGACCTTGATGCTGGGAAAGATTGAGGGCAGGAGGAGAAGAGGGAGACAGGGGATGAGATGGTTGGATGGCATCATCAACTCAATGGACATGAGTTTGAGCAAACATGGGAGATAGTGAAGGACAGGGAAGCCTGGCGTGCTGCAGTCCACGGGGTCGCAACGAGTCAGACAGGACTTAGCGACTGAACAACAAAATATTGAGAGTCAGGGGGTTCTACCAACCTGGGATCATTTCAGCTTCCTTCCAAGATCCCTGACTTACATAGGGGTTAAAGAGTCAGCTCTCCAACCATGCTGTGGACCCAAGATCTAGTCACTTAAAGCAGGCTGAGAAGCATGTGGGATCTTAGTTCCCCAACCAGGGATCGAACCCACACCTCCTGCACTGGAAGGTGAGGTCTTAAACATAGGACCACCAAGGAAGTCCCTTAAAGCAGGCTGTTATAAGTATTTGCTCTCAGGGCCACTTTGCCTTACATGTTCACTCACTGATCTCCTTCTGATTTCTGCTCACATTTTAGTTTCCTTTGGGGACCCTTGGAAATTTCCCTCAAGCTCCCAAAATCATGAGGAAACTTTTGTGCAGCATCTAGTTCATCTGTAAACAGTGTCATACCAAGGAGGATGGGTGGTGGGAGCAATCCATCCTGGAAGCAGGCTAAAAAATTAGAGTGTATTGCCTGCGGAGCAGTTAAAAACAATAAAATCAACTGAAAGTCAGTCTGCTTTTTATTATCATCATACACCAGCATTTCTAAATGGTGGTGGTGATAAATACCTCTCTCCACCAGAGTAGACCACTCCTACCATTTTTGTTCCTCTCATGCCCACCCTCCGAGCATGCCACTGTTTGTAACAGAAAGACCCTGCAGAGAATCTAGTCCACCAGACTGCTAGGAGCAGAAGCCCAGACCACTTCTCTCTTTGACTCTTCACAGGTAATCTAGTCTCTGATCAGTGTGGTTGTGTTCCAAGCCTTTTGTTCAAAAAGCCTCTGCTCCAACCATTTGCAAGCACGTGATGATTTAAAAATACATCTGCAGGGACTTCCCTGGCAGTCCGTTGGTTAAGACTCCACCTTCCAACTCAGAGGATGCCGTTTCAATGTCTGATCGAGGAGCTAAGATTCCACATGCCTCATGGCCAAAAGATCAAAACATAAAACAGAAGAAATATTGTAACAAATTCAATAAAGACTTTTTAAAAAAATGGTCCACATTAAAAAAAAATCTTCCCTGGGGTAGGAAATGGCAACCCACTCCAGTATTCTTGCTTGGAGAATCCCATGGACAGAGGAGCTTGGTGGGCTACACAGTCCATAGCGTCGCAAAGAGTCAAACACGACTAAAGCGACTTATCTCGCATATCTAAGGCTTAATAATAATAAACTTAGTTTTTTAAAACTTAAAAAATAAAACTACATGTGCAAATTCTTTAAGACCAATAGGTGAGGGTCTATACCTCCCCTCCAATGAAACCAGATGGTCTTTTGTGATGATTTCGATCAATAAAACGTAGAAGACATGACAGGGTGTGAATTCCAAGGCTAGGTGATAAAAGGCCATGCAGCTGCCCCCCTGTTTGCCAGAACACTTGCTCTTGAACTCTTCAGCTGCCATGCAAAGATGCAGCAGCCATGATGTGAGGAAGCCCAATGAAGAGAAGCCACACAGAAGCTTTGAGATTACACGGAGAGAGAGGTGGGCCAACTCCCCGACTGCTGCCTTGTTTGCTGCATGAATCTATGTATTGGAGCTCCAGCCACTGTATAAAGGCAGCCTTGCTGTAAGAAAGCCAATGTAACCCATGTGGAGAGAACACATGGAAAGGCCCAGATTCTACACGTACGAGATGCTCATTAAGCCCCTAGTTGCCCTTCAGTGTCAGCTCCAGCAACCCTCTAACTGCATCTGTATGAGAGACCAGAACTTTCCAGATGAGCTTTTCCCAAATTCCCAACCTACAGAAACCGTAAAGGTTAATAAAATGATTGTTGTGGCTTTTAAGGCACTACAGGTGAGAGACATTTAAGTAGCAATAAATAACCAGAACACACATGCAAATGAACCTCCACCCTGATTTGTGCAGATAGTGTGGAGGCCGGCCATGCAACTGACCTCCTGAAGGGAACCCTCACCTCCATGCCATGTCCCATTGAGGGTGAAACACACGGTCTGGTTTCCAGTGCAGTTCATGACCGAAAGGGAGTCACATGGGGCCGACTCATTCCTGGAACAGTAGTGACACTGCACCCCGTTGGGCTGGGCTTTGGGTCTTGCTTCTGATGGGAGTGGTTGTAATGAGAGTGAGATAGGGCTGAGGGAGACCCCCCTTTCATCCCTCTTTTCCCACCCTCTGTTCTTGCTGCTTCCACCCACCACAATCTTCCTCCAAAGTGAGACCAGTCTGGTCTGAGACACCACCTTCTGGTCCTTGAAGATTTATTCCAAGGAGCAGTGAACAGAATCAAAGGTGGAGTTGGCCCCATGCTGTTCATTTGTCCTAAGCAAACCTTCAGCCTGAAGTCCAAGTGTTCTTTCATTCATTCCACAAACATGTCTTGGGCACCTACTGTGTGCCAGGCCCTGTTTTCAACATATTGGCCACACAGACAAAAGCCCTCCCTCTAAGACCCCAAATTCCAAATGTGATGAAAAGGTGATCCTGTTATTTTAGGTTTTAAAATATTGTGGTGTTTTACAAAAGAGTAGTTCACCACCATCTGGTTAATTCCAGGTTCTCCACCATCTGATTAGTGTTCAGAGCTTTCTTAGAGATATGGAACATTCAAGAGGAAGCTATTTAAACATATTTTTTTTTCCTTAGTCAAAAACAGCCACAGATTGTTTTAACATGGGTTTATACTGAAACATTGGCAGACACAGAAAAGTAGAGAACTGTGCTGATTAATAGATGGCTTCTCTCTACATGTGGTTATTAAATACTTACACTGTGGGTGGTTCCCTTTGGGATGTGCTCTGAGTATAAAACACACCCTGGATTTCAGAGGTTTAGTTTGGGAAAAGAAAGTAAAAGTATCTCATTAATAATTTTATAGTGATTATCACCATGTTGAAATAATAGCTTAGATATGGTACCCGAAGATCTATTCTTAAAATTAATTTCACCTGCTTCTTCCTACTTTTGAATGTGGCTACTAGAAAAGCTTTCATTCCCTGTATGGCTCACAGTTTATTTCTACAGACAGCTATGAGCATCTTGCATGTGTGTATGCTAAGTCACTTCAAAGGCCAGTTGTATCTGACCCTTTGAGACCCCATGGACTGTAGCCCACCAGGCTGCTCTGTCCATGGGGATTCTCCAGGCAAGAATACTGGAGTGGGTAGCCATGTCCTCCTCCAGGGAGTCTTCCCAACCCAGGGATCGAACTCAGATCGCCCGCATTGCAGGCGAATTCTTTACCATCTGAACCACCAGGGAAGCCCTACCAAGAGACAATTACTTTAGTACACCTGAAACTAACACAACGTGGTATATTAACTATACTGCAATATAAAATGAAATATAAAAATATAACAAAATCTTAAAGAGCAATAAAGTAAAAGTATTGACTTCTCTGGTGGTCCAGTGGTTAAGACTCCATATTACCAATGCAGAGGGCATGGGTTCAATCCCTGGTCAGGGAATTAAGATTCCATATGCCATGTAGCATGGCCAAAAGATAAAAATTAAATTACAATTAAGATTACCAGTAGAAGAATCTGAAAAAGAACAGATATATGTGTATGCATGACTGAATCACTTTGCTGTTCATCTGAGATTAACACATTGTAAATCCAACATGAAACTTAAAAATTTGTAAAGGAACAAAAAAATAAAAATTACCAGTAGAAGAATCTGAAAAAGAATGGATATGTGTATGTGCTTATTTTGAAATTTAAAAGAAAATTTTTAAAAGAATGAAAAAAATGAGACAATTGCTCCAAGTATTCTAAAGTAGTCTCTACAACCTTTCTTTACACATGGGAGTTTTGTTTGATGCAGTTATACTCCTAATGGGCAATTTATATGTTGACTAGCATACCCCCATCTCAGCTCAGACCTGGATGTTGTATTTGGTTGATGTGCACAGTTTAGGAGGAGGGAAGTCCCAGGGGTCCAGAAGGATGGCTAGTAGCCCCAAGTATGGAGCTGTCTGGAGTCTCCCCACTGATACACCTGCCAAATTCAAAACTCCTTCTCTGGGAAAAACAGCCAAGCAACAAAAAGTGATCTTTATCACCGTTCAGAGCCAAGTTTGGAAGGAGCCAGCGAGGAGATGCTCACTGTCAAGGTCGAGCAAGTGCAGAGTCAGCATCAGCAAACTGAGCATTTCCCCTGACCCTAGACAGGAGCCCATCACCAACTATGACACATCTTGTTCTGTTTGACCAGCCTTCGGGCAACCCCTCTCCTAAGAAGAAAGAAGAGTCTGGGGCTTCTGTTAAGTGCCAACCACCCCCCCCCCATAATAACCCCATAAGTACAGCTACAATTTATAGAGTGCCTATCTGTATCAGCTTTGCTCTGTCTGCAATTCTTGCACAAATTATTGCACACCCATTTTCTGGATGAGGAAACCAAGGTTCTTCTTGTCCCAATCAGCCAGGCAGCACCAGAGACAGAGGCCAAGTTCCCACGACACCCCACCAGGGTGTGTGACCCCCAGGGCCCAGCCAACAGACCTTGTGGGGTAACACTGCTACAGTTGTCTTCACAACAGGCTGTGCGGATCCAGAGACTCAAGCCGGGACCATAGGTCAAGGAGTAGACCTCTTTTTGGCAGTCCCCAGGGGCCACGCAGGACCCATTCTTGATGACAGTCCCATTTGCTGGTGACAGAAATTGAGGATGGGAAGTTAGAGACCCCCCCTGCCCCAAAGCCCTCTGGGACCTCTGCCCCCTCTGCAGCAATCCCCACAGATTAGTCTGGGGCTTCAGATGGTATTGAGACCACCCCCCCACCCCCACCTCCCCACTCCCATCCCAGTAGCCCTGAGCTAGCTGAACTATGAGGTGATGTTTGAAACCTTCAGTCCCAGGGGAGCTGGTCTAGGCCACTCTCCTTCAACCCCTGCCCACCCACTTTGTCCATCCTCCCTACCCACCCCCCACCCCGGCCGGCCAATCTCCCACCCAGCTGCAACTGGCTAAGCAAGCAGGAGTCCTGGGCCGGAGGACAGGTTTTCTCCGTGCACTTTCCCAGCAAAGGGCAGACTGGACACATCTTGGCTGTCCCTGTGAGGAGAGAGGGGGGATTATACCCTGAGATTTGAGAAGGAAGAGAGGAGAACAAATGCACACACTCACACACAGACACACAGGTCAAGAAAAGAGCTAAGAGGGACTTCCCTGACGGCCCAGTGACTAACACTCTGTGCTTCCAATAGAACTGACAGTGGTGGGAGGGCTGTTGGGAGAAGATCAAGGAACATCTTCCTGGTGGTGGGTGAATGGCCTTCCAGGTGGGTGAAACATTGCAGGCAAAGATTGGGAGCTGAAATCAGCATCTCCAAGGTGGAGCTTAGGACAGTCTGCATGTAATCTACCAGTTCTCACCATGGAACTCTTTCTCCAAAGATTTCCCACCCCCTACCCTCCACCAAGTCCAGAACTAAACAGATAAAGAGAGTCATTTCCTGGACTTCCCTTGTGACCCAGGGGTTAAGAATCCACCTGTCAATGCAGGGGACATGGGTTCTATCCCTGGTCTGGGAAGATCCCACATGCCATGGAGCGACTAAGCCCGTGTGCCACAACTATTGAGCCTGTGCTCTAGGGCCGGGGAGCCACAACGACTGAAGTCCTGACACCCCAGAGGCCGTGCCACCAAGACCTTGTGGGGTAACACTGCTAGTGCCATCCAGGAGAAGCCACCACAATGAGAAGCCCGCACGCCGCACTACGAGAGTAGCCCCCGCTAGTCTCCTGCAGCAACCAAAGACCCAGCCAAGAATAAATAAATCATTTTTCTTTTTTAAAAAAACAGTGTCATTTCCTTTCATCGGCTGGGCCGAGGACCACCCCGGCTGTCCAGGGGGTCTTAACCCCCAAGATGTCTCTCTGAGGCTCTTCCAAGAAATCTCAAGGCTCTAAGACACACACCCTGAAAAGGTGTATGGCTGATCTTGACTCACACCGTCTACTTATAGATGAGGAAACTGAAACCAGATGGACTTAAGAGTCTTAACCCAAGATCACACTGTGAGGTCCCGGGCTGGGTCTTGGCCATTTAATTCCTACCCTGAGCCAAAGTGAAAGTGTTAGTTGCTCAGCTGTGTCTGACTCTTTGTGACCCCATTCTCCAGGCAAGAATACTGAACTGGGTTGTCATTCCCTTCTTCAGGGGATCTTCCCGACCCAGGGATCAAACCCTGGTCTCCCACATTGCAGGCAGATTCTTTACCCTCTGAACCACCAGGGAAGATCTATCCTGAGTCAAAGGTAGCAGAATCATAACCAGAGGGAAGATAGGCAGGTGAGGTAAAGAAATAATAAGTTATTAATAATAATAATAGCTCACCTTCAGGCAAGGCCACTTATGGCCTAATATTGTTCTAAGTGCTTAAAAATCTCTTCAAACAAAAATTTTTGTAAGTTGAGAATTATGTTTTATTTGGGGCATTGCTGAGAACTTAAGCCCAAGATACAGCCTCTTAAATAGCTCTGAGGGACTGTTCCAAAAACATAAGGGAGGAGTTTTCTGGAATATAGTACAGTGTAGGAGTTTTTGCAAAAAAAACAAAAACAGATAGTTGAACACCAAAAGGTTACTGTTAATTAAAGAAAACCTAGAAGTCTCAAGTTATTTAATTTTGCACTTTTCTCTCCCCTCTAACACATTAGTTCAGTGAATGCCCTGCCCCCAAGAACCCCCCGAGGCAGCGTCATTGTCACCCTCATTTCACAGATAGGGAAACCAAGGCACAAAGAGGTTAAGTGGCTTGCTCAAGGTCACAGAGCTAAGAAGTGGCCGTGCCAGGGTTTGAGCCCAGGCAGAACTACGCTCTCAAACACCCCCTCCAGCTGCCTCTGCCGAACAAAAAGCCAAGGTACAAGACCCTGGCACTCAGACTCCCATCACCCTCTCCCTGTCCGAGGAACCACACACAATGCACCTACCTTCTGGGACTGCCAGTGCTCCCAGGAGCACTAGAGGAGGGAGGAGCCAGAACATGATCCAGGCTGGAGAGGAGGAAGAAGGACCAAGGTGCCCTGGCCTTTTATTCAAGGGCCTTGTCTAGGGTGTCAGCCCCGGGAGAGGGAGAGCAAATAGGCTGGGCAGATAGAGCCCCACCTGCCAAGCTGGCCACCGGGAGCGGGGGCGGGGCCTAAAGAGCATGGAGATGGGGAAACTGAGTCCTGAGGGGCCTGGGGGGCAAGCCAGAGGCTATTCAGTGAAGCCAAAGAAGGACAATGGGCCTGTTTTTGTTGTTTTTTTGTTTTCTTCTTTCCTTTATTGTCCTTTTTTTTCCCTTTTTTTTTCCTCCCCTTTTTTTGGGGGGAGCATGTTGCTGTTATTAATATTATTACTAATAGGTTTGCTGGTCATTTTATGGGAGATGTTAACTCACTGGATCCTTCTAATAATCCTACAAGCCATTATCGTTAACCCTAGGAGGCATATTCCAAAATATTTGACCAGGGACTTCCCTGGTGGTCCAGTGGTTAAGAATTTGCCTTGCCATGCAGGGGACACAGGTTCAATCCCTGGTCAGGGAACTAAGATCCCACATGCTGAGAAGCAACTGAGCCTGCATGCCACAGCTAAGACCCAATGCAGCCAAATAAAAAATAAATAAATATCTTTTTAAAATATTTGACCATCAGTACAGAGCAGGCCCTGCAACAGTAACAATTCAACCCCATTACTAGAGCACTATTCTGGTCCCCTTCACCAACCTGGTGATTCTGTTTTAGTTAGTAGAACTTGGGGAGCAGCCAGGGTCTTGAAAGCAGATTTCTACCAACCAAATCTGGAAGTATCTCAATATTTTAACAGTTGATGTGGTTACAATCAGCCCTGAGTTTCCCCATTTTACAGAGAAGGAAACTAAAGCTCAGGACAGTCCAGGCCCTTGTCCGAGGCCACAGTGAGGATGCTGGCACAACCAGGGTTTGAACCCAGGCCCCACTGATTTGACTGTTGGGCTCCACCAAGAGGGGAGAAGGGAGACAGCGCCCCCCTCCTGACGAGGCCCACATTGCTCTTTTGCCCTCACTTCTGCAGAAAGGCTTGATTTGCACATCTGCTCAATGGGAATCAGGTCCATCTCAACCACCCACAAAGGGCCTTTCAGTCCCAATGCTTGGAATGTCTCTTCGCCAGCCTTGAGTCTCCACCTGCCTCTCCTTTGAGAATTAACTCTGGGGCTGTCCCTTCCCTCGTTTGGGGCCTCGGTGTGTTGAACCCTGAGGTCCATTTCTTCCAACTCTGACATTCTTATGATTTGAAATCAGAACTGATCAACGGGCAGCTCCATCCTCCTGCAAGCTCAGGCTCTGACCTCGGGGGCCTCGGTCAAGGACCCCTGCCCTGCCCCCAGGATCTATATCAGGTCTTAGGAGACCACAGCTTGGCTGACACTGCCCAGGAAGGAAATAAGTTAGACCCTCAGGGCTCCACCAGTCCCTAAGCCAATAAGAAGAGAGATAGATCACTGCCCTGGTGACAGTAACTTGGGATCAACCCAGGACCCTCAGGAAAGGCTCTGTTGGGTACATTCCCGTGGGAGTGATGTATACTAGTGATGCTCAAGCTTCAAGGAAACCACGCGCCCATGCTGAGGCGGGGTGAGCACTGAGGAAAAAGAAGGCCAGGATTCAAGTTCCGGTTCTGCCTCCTCAAGCTGGATGATCTTGGACACTTCACCCCCTTGAGTCTCAGCACTCTTATTTGTCAAAGAGTGCACCTATGAGGACTTATATCACAGGGCTGCCGTGAGCTGATGCATCAGACAAAAACGCTGAGAACAATAGATGCCCAGTGGCATCATCATCTCATCATCATTTCATCGTCATCTCCCCGTTAAAATCGTCATCATCTGGCAGTGGGCCTGGCAAGGTCGGGATTGGCCTCCCCTCTTGGCTCAGAGGAGAGATCCCAGCAGAGAGAAAGGACCAGTCCAAGGTCACTCCACAGGCCTTGCCAGGCTCTCCAGACTCCAGGGCGGGGCCCTCAATCAGGGTGTAGAGTCAAGGAGTCCCCTTGGAAAGGTACCAGTCCGAAAAAGAGAGGCAGGGGGCTGGGCTGGGGTGGTGTCTCTTCCCAATGGGATGCTGAGGCAGAGACGAGTTTGGGGAGGACGCCACCTCCTTCCCGGGTGGATCCCCAGCCTCTTGGTTCAGGAGCAGTGGGAAGAAAGGAGAACAGTCCCCAGGGAGCCTGGGGTTCTTGGAGGAAGGAGCCAATCCTGTGCTTCATAACTAGCAGCCAGCCTCCTCAAAGGTTAGCTGATAACTGGGGCTGAGTAAACAGGCCGCTGACTGCACAGACGCGAGGTTTTCTGAGTAAAGACTGTGAAGGGCAGGGAAATGTCCTTCCCATGCCTCTCTGCCCTTATTTTAAAACCTGGGTTGGGGGGACCTCAGGGCAATTCTCTAATGCATGTCCAAGCAGATATTCCCGGATAGCTGAGTGGTAAAGAATCCTCCTGCCAATGCAGGAGATGCAGGAGATGCAGGTTCAACCCCTGGGTTGGGAAGATGCCTTGGAGGAGGACATGGCAACCCACTCCAGTATTCTTGCCTGGAAAGCACCACGAACAGAGGAGCCTGGTGGGCTATATTCCAGGGAGTGTAAAGAATTGGACACAATTGAGCAGGCATCCACACTCCCCTTTTATAGACAAACAACGGTAGATAACACTCACACTTCTGCCCCTAGATTTTTCCACCTGACAATCAGGTAACCTGAATTACATAGTTCCCTCTTTCTTTTTCCTGTTAGATAAGTATACCTCTTGTACAGTTTGGTACAAACCTCTTGTACATTTTGCTGAGTTAATTGCAAACTGCTGTGGTGAAAAATGTACGTACACAGTTGCACGTTCCCGCAAGTGGTGAAGTTTTTGCAACATCATGAACATTTTCTACATTTGTAATTTTGAGAGCAATTGCAAAATGACCACCCATTTACACTCCCATCAGTGGTATGGAGAGTGCCCATTGCCCCATAGATTCCCTAACTTTGTGTATCATCCAGGTGTTTTATTTTTGCCAATCTGTAGGAGAAAGGGGTGTGGGAGGACACCATGCTGTGTGTGCTCACTTGCATCCAAGTCTTTTGAAGCCCCACGGACTGTATGTAGCTCGCCAGGCTCCTCTGTCCATGGGATTCTCCAGGTAAGAATACTGGAGTGCTTGTCATTTCCTCCTCCAGGGGACCTTCCCAACCCAGGGACTGAACCCGCATCTCCTGCATTGGCAGGCAGATTCTTAACCATTGGATTACCAGGGAAGTTTCACCATTGTGTGTCTTCTTCCATCCTTTCCTAATTTTTTGTCAATTCACAGGAGCTGTGTCTGTGTCCTGTGGCTGCCACGGCAAAGTACCACAAACTGTGTGACTTGAAACAACAGAAATGTATTATCTTGCAATCTGGAATCTGGAAATCCAAAACTGAGGTGTTGACAGGACTGTGCTCTCTCTGCAACCAGTCAGGGGATCCTTTCTTGCCTCTTGGCTGCTTCTAGTGATTTGCTAGAGGTCTTTGGCTGGCAGTTTACAACTCTAATCTCTGCTTTTAGCATCACATGGCCTTCTCCCTGTGTGTCTGCTGTCACATGACCACCTTCTTATAAAGGCAGCAATCACATTGGATTAGGGGTCCACCCTACTCTATTACGGGTCCTCTCTGGTGGCTCAGACAGTGAAGAATCTGCCTGCAATGCCGGAGACCCAGGTTCAATCCCTGGGTCCAGAAGATCCCCTGGAGAAGGGAATGGCTACCCACTCCAGTATCTCTTGTCTGGAGAATTCCACGCATGGACAGAAGAGACTGGTGGGCGACAGTCCATGAGTTCGCAAGGAGTCGGACATGACTGAGTGACTGATACTTCTACTTTTCTGCTCCACCCTGACCTCATCTTAACTCATTACATCAGCAACAACATCCTTGTTTCCAAATAAGGTCACACTCTGAGTACAGGGAGTTAGAATTTCAGCATATCTTTTTCTTTGTTTGCTTCTTCTTCTTTTTTTTTTTTTAATAGGCACACCCTTCAACCCCTGATTGGCGCTTTTAATCTATTTAGCAATATTAACCCTCAGATCACAATGATTATTTCTGCTACTGCACCTAAGTGGGGAAATGTAAGCTGCTAAGAGCTAGAGGTAGGAAAACCTTTTGTCGCACAAACTCAGCAAGTGTTTTTCCTCTGGCTGCCATCCTCTCTCCAGGCCACCCCAATGTCATTAAACCAGAGAGCAGCATGGCAAAGGGGACTGATGGAGGATGGGCTGGAAGTAGGCTGGGGGCTTCCTGCTCCTGGTTCTTGTCCCCCCAGGAGAGCATGGTAGTTGCCCAAACCCAGTATGGTAGTTATGAGCGTGAGCCGTAGAGCCAGACGGCTTGGGTCCAAATCCTGACTCTGTACTTACAAGTCATCACAGGCAGGTGACTTAACCTCTTATGTATGCCTGCCCAGTCCCTAAGTCACGCCCCACGCTTTGCCACCCCACAGACTGTAGCCCACCAGGCACTTTTGTCCATGGGATTCTCCAGGCAAGAATACTGGAGTGGGTTGCTATTTCCTCCTCCAGGGGATCTTCTCGACCTCCAGGGGATATAACCCCCGTCTCTGTCTCCTGCATTGCAGGCGGAATTTTTCCCACTGAACCACCTGGGAAGTCCAGTAACCTCTGGTATTCTTTTGCTATTGTTGCCATAATAAATTGCCACCAACTTACTGCTTTAAAGCAAAATGAATGTATTCTCTTATAGCACGGGAGGTTGGAAATCTAAAATGAGTTTTTTTACATGTATTTATACATTTATATATTCATTTATATGTATGTATATATTATATATTTTATTTATGGACTGCACTGGGTCTTAGTTGTGGCATGCAGGATTTTTAGTTGTAGCATACGGGATCTAGTTCCCTGACCAGGGTTCGAAACAGGGCTTCCTACATTGGGAGCGCAGGCTTAGCCACTGGACCACATGGAAAATC